CGGCACCTTCACTGGTCTGCGCAGTGTTTATACCACTGCCTTCAGCACAGGTATCCCTGACTCACCCTAGGATTAAACAAAAAAATTGCGGAGAAAAAAAAAAAAAGCAGGGACACTTGAAACGATGGACTTGCTCCACTCCAGGTTTGTGGGACAGTCTAGGAGTGAAAATCAAGAGTGTGGCCTGCAGAGGGAAGAAAAGAGCTGTGAAAACTGCTGCGGCTTCCCGGGGGTCTGCTCCTCTTCCCGCTGCCGCGCCTGCTCCCCACCACGCTGTTCCTCCGGAGCGGGCTCGGAGCTGAATAACTTGCCTTTAAACATTAAATACATTTAAAGCCCATTCATATCAAACTAAAATTAAACTTCTGGATTTTATTCAAGAGTCATTCCCCCTGAGAAAGGGCTGAGAAGAAAATAATGGCTAGCTGAATGCTTCACCCATCCAGCAGGCAGAAAAAATCCCCCCAGGAGGTAAGGTGAGAAGTGAGGCTTGGCTGTCGCCTTGCCTCATTGCATTGTTATCTGTGTATAAGCCAATTTCTCAATCCATTTAGAAATTCACTAATTGTCATTGGAGCTATTTGCTGACGACTGTGAAGTGGCTTTGTAATGAAAGGGAAGTCCATTTATTCTTTAACATTTGCAAAAATAATTGCCTGTCACTTAACCAAACATCCTTTGCCCCAGAAACACTTGCTCTTCAGCGCTTTTTTTTTTTTGAGCTGCACGCTTTGAAACGCCAGTTATAATTTCCAGTCCCTGAAGGGCTCATTCTCAGCTGCTGTGACACGAGTGAGGGAGCACACTCCACAAAAGTACGCGAAACGTCCTGTCACTTCTGCTGCGAGGAGAGGAGAGCATCTTAATGGTGCTGCAGGAGGGTTGCAGCTCCCATGCTGCGGTTTTATGGGGCTGCTGCTCCTTTGCAGCCTGCCCTGCACCTCTGCTGAGCATCCCGACACTGCTGGGAGCAGCCATGTCTGCGGAGCCAGGTGCCAGTGGGCCCATTGCTGGCCAAGGAGATGAGGTACACAAAGTAGCCCCAGCCTCACCGTCGGAGCTCCAGAGGCTGTCTTCTGCTCCCGTTTGCTAGCCCTGCTCTCAGCCCTCGTGAAGGAAAAAGAGGCTGAATGAAGCCAGGTAGGCACCAGGGAGTGAGTCCTGAAGGGAGGAGGAAAGGCTCTTTGGGAGGTGGATGAGAGATGTCTCAGGATGGGAACAGGGAGAGGATGGAGATCTGTATTCCTCAGCTCAGCCCTCCATGCACATTACCCCCACAAGGACAGCCGACACCTCCACCAGTGCCTGTTCCTGCCATGGGTGACACCCTGCAACAGCTTTGCTCACCGGCTCACCCCTCCCCACCATGCCCAGCACTTCCTTTGCCACCACCACTCCCACCAACATGGATAAGGTAAGCCAACCTGTTCCTTAGCTTTGGGGAAGAAAAATTCAGCTCTGCCTCCATGACAGAGAGGCTTTGAGGAGCTCTGCCTGCCAGGGAAGATGGGTTTGCCGTAGCAGTTAACCAGAGCATCCGAGGTGCCTTGCCAGGTCCCCTGGAGACAAGCGGAAGCAAACGAGCGTTCCTCCCCAAGAATCAATAGGGATCTGTCCGCCTTCACCTGCTGGGCTTATGCTGCTGTAGGATCTTTCACTCCAATGGCTGCTCGTTTGTTTGTCAGCTTTATTGAATTTTTATTGTTTCCCAGGCACGTGAATTCCCCCATTCATTCCCAGGGCAAGGAGCGCCACGTCTCCGGGGGTGGATAGTTGCCAGTGTTGACTCAAGGGTGTGTGGAGCAGGAGATAAGCGTTGCCCTGCTGCCGGGCCCGGCGGAGCTGTGCACCTCGCACTGCGCCGTGCTTCTCGCCTGGGGCTCCTGCGGTGGGGCCAGGAGCCAGGGTGAGCGTCACGCAATGCCGACACGCGTCATCCCCTCGGCTGTGGGCAGGGACAGCAGCCACGTCCCGGGGGGAGCGCTGGAGGAGCACACCTCTGCGGCCAGCCCCGAGGAGCGGGAGCAGAGCAGCTCCTGCCTGAACAGGATTGAAGGCAGGAGGGCCAGCAGGCTGCTGAGCGGCGAAGAAGGGGACCACCACAGACACCCTCAAGGTATGGTCCGCGTTCGAGGTGCAGCCGCTGCAGTGCTACCCAGTTGCACCAGCAGTGGTGTTGGCCACTATGACTTGAGATGATCCAGTCAGTGTTATAACATTTCATGGGTTCCTGCCACTATAAGCCAATGTCATTGAGGTGGGTCCAACAGACTCATGATAGCTCACAGCTGTGGGGAATAGCTTATTAGATGTATTTACTCTCCCAGGGTGCAAGCTTTCAAGTGTTGGCAAGTGTTAGCTGGTGCTGATACAGAGCCTTTGGAAGGTGGGGTGAAGGACTGGATTGGTCAGGTACTTTGGGTTGGGTTCCCCATGGCGAGCAGGATTCCTGGTTTGGGAAGACTGGAGATACTGGCTGTGTTTGATTCTTGGGTAGGAATTTGATGCGTTTCAAGATTAGATGACTGTCTTTTTGCTTTTGTGTGCTGCGGTGTTAAGAGGGAAGAATGCGTGGGTGAGTGTAAATCAGCTCTGCGCAGGGAGAGCTACCTGTTTAACCAGGGGATTTAGGCTTCCAGGTATTTAATTTCTGGTAACTGTACTTCAGCTAGTTGAAACGTTTCAGTCTTGAAAAGCCTCTTGTGGATAATGAGACTACAGGGAGACACCACTCCCAGAGAGCCTCAGACTGGGGAGCAGGGGTGAACGGGGGCCTTGCTTTAGCAGTGCAATCAATGAGCAAGTAGGTAGCCAGAATTTTCAAGAAAACGCTGGGAGAGAGGGGGATAAAACAAAGTGAGAGAGAGGTTTTGTTGCCTCCCTTGAAACCAGGGGTAAGCAAAGCTTGCCTAGGTTTGAAATGTCCCACCTGATATGTCAAGGGGTGAGGGACTGCCTGTGGCAGAAGGTGGGGGAGGTAGGAGATGGTTCTACTTTGAGGACCAGGGGACTACCTGGAGAAGGCTTTTACCCCACAGGCGGCTCTGTAAGAGCTCTGCAAACCCAGCAGGAGCCTTGGGTGACCCTCCCAAAGCTGTCCCAACAAAGGAGCAGAGAGGCAGCGTGACGCACACCCTGTGCCCTGATTCGAAGGGCTGGTGGTGTCATGGAGAGCTGGGCTGGTGCTGGAGGGTCCCCACCTTGTCTCCAGACCAGGCTAGTGCCCTCAGCTGAGGTGTCCTGACCACCATTGACACATATGAGATAGCTGCAGACAGAGGGAACAGAGTGACTTTGCAGCTGCGCTGGAGCTTGAGTCTTGGTGACTGGTGCCACAGTCAGGACCACCCTGTGTGTGTCTCCCCAGTGTCCTCCTCTTTCCTTTAGCGTTCAGCTAGAGCCCTTCATGATTTCTTTTCTGACAGGCCCCAGGGTAAGCCCTGCTGAGCCTGCCAGGGTAGCAGCCCCAGACCAAACCTCTCCCAAGGACACCAGTCCCTCAGTCGTAGCCCCTGCCTTTGCCTGGTAGCCCAGCCCACTGCCCTGCCTTCTCCTACAGCAGCATCCCCTCCATAGAGGTGCTCAGGAAATGTCACCAGCATACTTATGATTTCCCTGGTGCTACTGCAGGTGGGGAAGGTGAGGCAGGGAACTGACGGTTTCTTAGAGGGGCATTCACAGCACTGTGGGCACTCCGTGGAAAGGAGAAAAGTAGCTCTTCCTCAAACAGCAGAGAGAGAGGAGAGATATCGCAAGAGGGTGACCAGGGTCAGCCATGGTCTGGAGATGTTTGTATTTATAAACTAAGGAGAAAATGGATGCCACAAGCCACCATGGCTTTGAGGGTGGTGTTAGGAGCCAAAATCTGTGGGAGACAAATGTCCTTTAGCATCTTTAGGAACCACGCTGAGAATCCAGGTCTCTGCCCATCTGCCGGTCTCTGGCTCTTGGGTTATGACCATCAACTAAAGCACCCACAGGGGCCGTCCTGGACTCCTCCCAGTGCCTCTGAGCAGGGACCTGGTGCAGAGGGAGGTGGAGGCACAGGTCCTACTGGGCCTCAGCGTTAAGAGGCGGAGAAGGGCGAGACATCCTGCAGAGCTGGGAGATGACTCTGCTGCCCCAGGCAGCCAGTGGGATGTGGAGGAGGACCTGCAGTTCACAATTTGCTAGTGGTAGGGGACAGTACCTTCCTACCTGCTCATGCCCCAGGAGAGCTGCTGCTTCTGCTGCCACCGCAGCTTTCCCAACTCACAGGTGACCTGGTGTTTGCTCTGCTTGTCACATAAGAAGCTGAACTGCTTCACCACTGGCCACATGCATGCTGGAGAGCCTTCCAAGAAAACTCAGCTTTCTCCTCCCTGCACTTCCCCCTGTTGCTGTCTGCAAAGTGAATGCACTGTTTAAGATGCGCTCCCTGCCTGATGACCATCCGCCGGGGCTGCGGGTGTCTGTGCAGCCCAGAGTGACCCTGAGCTGCAGCACGGGATGGGGAAGAAGGCAGTGCATGGCTGGACTGAAGGAGGAAAGGGGCACCAGTGCCCTCGCCTGCGGCTGCCCCTGCACCCGTCCTGCACAGTTCAGTATCCTCACCACTCACAGCAGGAAGAAAGACCAGTTCCCCTCTATGGCAGCTCCTTTTAGAAGGAGCTTTCCCCTCTAGGATGCTGGGGAGAGAGTGGCGTGAAAGAGGTGGAGAACAAGACAATGTGGCACTTATCTATTTGCCTTGCCAGTGGGTAAATGGGCAGGAGAAGGGACCGCTGGTAAAAGGATGCAGGAGCAGCCGGGAGGGATGCTTGCACCACAGAGCTGTGGGGAGGTCCTCCCCGAGGAACCATGGAGCCAAAGCTCTCGCAGGGGGCCTGCTGGGAAAATGTTAGCCACAGTCCTGCCTGGCTCCCGCTCCCCACTCACACCTTTTCCACTCTGTTAATTATTACAAGGGGAGCGATGAAGGCCAATGTGCACCAAAGTCCAGTGTGAGAGAGAAAATCAGCAGTTCGCTTGCAGCCATGAACCAGCCAACCCCAGCCACCACGGAGCTGCCTGCACTGCCGGGGGACACAACAGTAGCCTTTGGGGTGGCAGACATCATCGTCGTGGTTTTTTACTTCGCCTTTGTCCTAACTGTTGGAATATGGGTGAGTCCCCAGGGTAACTGGGTTTGGGTTTGCCTGAGGTGGAAAGCCTTTGGTCCTCTTTGGATCCCTCCTGGCTACAAAGGTGTTTGCCTGCAAAGGGCATCCCCTGCACACACCGTTATCCCAGGCCCTATTGAGCAATTTGGGGGTGACAGTGATCTTCCTGTGAGCCCTCACCCTCTCATGGGGACAACCAAGTGCTTGTTCCCTGGAGGTTGTGCTGGGGGTGATGTCTACCTCCCATGCTTCAAAGTAGTCTCATATCAGGGTGTGGGTGGGCAGAGGGTGAAAGAAAAGCCAGGGCTGGTGTGGGGAAGACTGAAATGAGACTTTAAAAAGCTTTGGAAAAATTTTTGCTAATTATTTGTTCATGTTGCTTTGCAAAGACCTCTTTCATAGACACCTATAGTGTTTTGGTTGGCTGAAGTGTTTCTTCCTTCCCAAATGGAATATTCAAGGAGAAGTCATTAAATAGGTACAAGCAGCCGCTTTCCAAAGCTGGACCATCAGAAACCTGCACAAAGAGAGGCAGAAGCAGTGGGTGAAGCCTGACTTACTTAACAGACACACGAAAAAATTTTTGGACCTGATGCTGAAACCAGGCATTCAGGCTTCTCCTGGCTTGATGGCAGTGCTGCTCACCAGTCTGGGTGCTGCTATGTGCAGCAGGTGTTTTGCAGCAAACCATTGTATTATGGTGCCTGACTGAAAGTTGTGGGTTGCTGCAAACAGCAAGCACAGTCAGCCTCGGCCAGATCAGAGGGGCTTGCTGGCCTATGGACATCCTATTGCTCTTGAACTCCCTGCGGTTCTCATGCAGTTCCTAGATGGGGCTGTGTGATGTGGCCATAGGAGAGTGGGGCTGCTGGAAACTCTGAATCCACAGCGGTGGGACGAAGCAAGGCAGGAGGAGCTGCAGCAGGGCATTGCTAGCCATCCTGGAGTGCGCCTGCATGTCATGCCCAAATGCAGTCCTTGATGGCATCCCATGGGGTACAAGGTTGTCCTCTTATTCTTACCCCTGTGCAATGTTCTCCCGTGTCTGAAGGTGTTTGCTAGGGGTGCTGGACACTGAGGAGGGAAATGCTTCCCCTTAATGCATGCCATCATCAGAACGTGGGCAGCCTTTCTTGGAGCTGCAAACGTGTATCTTCACAGGGCTGAGAGCAGACAAACCCCTAGATTTCTCAAAATTAGATGACCTTCACAGGGGCCCTGCTTCAGCCTGCGTCAGGGCCATGCACTACGTGTCTATACTGCTCTGAGTAGGGCGAGCCAGTTGACTGCAGTGGTACCCAAGGGAGTAGGACTGAAGTGGTGCAGGAGGTTGCTGACGGGATGTTTCAAGGCTACTGGGATGGGCATTGGGTCTAACTTTGAGGGTGGGTGAATGGAGGAAAGCACTTCTCTCTTTCCTGTCCTTCCAGTCATCGATACGAGCAAGCCGGGGGACCATTGGAGGCTATTTCCTGGCTGGACGATCCATGACTTGGTGGCCTGTGAGTGAAACGCATCCCTCTGTTTCTCGTGGTTCTAAAGCAATTCCAGGTGCAGGGAGGGCAGGCCTGGTGAGGGGACCCAGTCCATACACGTTTTGACTGTGATCTTGAGATGAAGAGGATCCACCAGGAATCATCCCACACAGGTTTGCTAGTGGGCTACAGTGTGGAGCTGCCGGGCCAAAAGGATAGTTCAGCATCTTCAGGTTTTTTCAACTCTCAATTTCTCTCTGAAAGCCAGCAATAAAAATGTTCACGCTGATGAAAGTGAGGGAGCACTGACTGCCTAGATGGGTTTGAAACTCTTTGGCCCCTACTCACCAAAGATACCATTGTCCCCAAGCCAAGAGAGCATTAGGTAATCTAGGAATGTGCTATTTAGTAAAAAAAAGCATTAAGGGACTAAAGAAAAAGTAATCCCAAAGCCCAGGACTTTCTGAGCCCTTGCTATTTAGAGTAAAGTTGAGATTATTGACTAACGATGTAAAGATATAAACTGCAAACCACTGAAGTATAAATCTTCACTATGAAGAAAAAAAAAATCTATTGAAGGCATCTTTTCTTGGGAGTGAAAGGTACATATAAAGGTAATTTAAAGTTTGAAAGGAATAAAAACACCGCAGGAATAAAGAATCTTCTCAACCAATGCCAGACTAGCACCATATATCTCTCCAGTGAGTCGTGGGTAACGGAATGCACTTCTCAACCAAAATAGTGTATTTTTTTCTTTTTTTCCTTTAGATGTACATTGCCCATAAATTCACTAGGCTAGAATTTCAAGCTCTTCCATCAGAGACACACAGACCTCCCTAAAATCTGTTATTTCTTAAATGGTCTTAATACTTCTGTCTCAGCCAAGTGACATTTAATGGAAAAGCTCAGCTTGATGGTTTTCTCTAATTAGGACGGGAAAAATTAAAAGATATACAGGTGGAATATTTTTTCCCTACCATTGCTCTTATTTTCTTTAAAAAAAACCAAACAAAACCCAAAAACATTCTCATTGCTTTTGGCTCCAACCGCAGATGGCCACAGAGTTTGCTGGGTACAGTTGGGTCTTGGGTCTCCTGAGTTACCATTCTAGATTCAAAGCAACCTCTAATGCTGTTCACTTTTCAGTTTTGTTTGTCAGAGGTCTGATTCCACCTCTGCAGCACTCCTCCAGGCTCAGGTCCTCATGGCCTTCACCTTGAGTACATGACTGGCTTATGTGTATTTTGTTTGGTTTTTTTTTTACAGGGGTGACAGGTTTCTACTGTGTGTTAGACAGCCGCAACTAAACCCTGATATTACATTGCTGCTGCTGTGCAATGTGTCTTCTGTATTTCTGTGTCTGATATTGATGTCAGGAAAACTCTTTACATTTCTTGAGAGCACCAGTTCCCACTTCAGTTGCAAATTCATGTTGCAGCAGCCAGCTCTCTAATCAAGAGTTTTCTTACACGGACAAGAAGGCAGAGCTGTTGGCAGGAATCAGTGTGAGTGTTGATGCCATATTAATGTTTTACCTTGCTCAGAGGTGAGAAGCAGATCAAATTCCATCATTCCTTGTTTCACATGTAGCAGTACTAAGGAGAGAAAAGCTCCTTCTAGGTGATGTGGCTAAAAGCAAGCTTTCTCTAGAGACAAAAGGGCTAGACTTGTCCTTTGGGTAACTTCTCATTTGACCCTGAGAGAGATTTGACGTTGGCATGCAGAAAGGAGGTGAGGCTTTGTGCCAAATAAAGGTAGTTAAGTCAGACAGTCTTTGCCCTGTTTAAAGCACCTTGGAGCTTGCATTCTTCTAATTAGGGTGTCAATGAGCCATGGTAGGGTAGTTTACCATGCCCACAGACTACAGTTAACCTGAGACGTTAGCATTTTCCAGCCTGCTACAGAGCTGAAGATCTTTGAACCTATGTGTTGACATTAAACACAAAAGGCCTGCATGTTTCTAACAACATCTCTGCTATGGTTCAGGAATCTCCTCCCTTAGGAGGAGCTCCAAGAGAGCACTTCTGTCACCATGGCTATGCAAATCACCACATGCGTGTTCAGTGCAAGACTTGAAAGAGTCTGGGCTGTCAGCAAGGCATGGAGAGGTAGAACAAGGGTCAGCGAGGCTGGAGAAGGCACATTGCTGGCTGAATAACAAGGGAATGGAGAAATCCATCATGTTTCATGGACACTGAGGTATCTGGGGCTGCCACTAGACTTCCTTCACCCGGCTCAACTCCCCATAACAGTTACGTTAGGAGAGCCATTGACAAAGTGAACCCCAGTTCTAAGATTAAGCTTTGCATTGGTGTGGAGGCAGTGGAAGGGAGCAGACACACTCACTTTAAGATATAAAAACATAGTTTTCCTCAAAAGGAGAAGAAAACCCCAACTTTTTAATAGCACCCAGCTACCTACTTACAAGGAGACAAGGCCCTGGGGAAAGGGAGTGTCGGGGGAAAATGCTTGGGCTGATACAGAAGTTCCTGAAGGTGACTTTCTGGGTTTTGTGCCTGTACCATGTGTTTCAGATTGGAGCATCCCTGATGTCAAGCAACGTGGGCAGTGGCTTATTCATCGGCCTGGCAGGCACTGGAGCAGCTGGGGGTCTTGCTGTTGGAGGCTTTGAGTGGAATGTAAGAGTCAGTTATGTTGGCAAGTAAAATGCCACTGTTTACAAAGGGACTGGGGTTTGTCTCCAAAATCAGGTGCTAACAGTGTTGGCAACTACGAGTTCTCAGGTCTCAGGAGAGAAGCCTCCAGGCATTCAGAGAGCTTTAAGAACACGAGAACTTTATTTTAGTTAAAGTGGAATCCACTAAAATTATTAGCTCTTTGACCTTCCCAGAAGCACATAGCCATATTTTTTAAGCTTTATTCTGCACTCATCAAGATTAAAATAAAAGATAATGAATGCTGAAAAGGTACTTGGATAATCACAGGATTCTGGGTACAGGGAGTTTGAAAAAAAGCAGTATATACTCCTGACTTCAGTGTAAAGCCATGAGACTCAGCAATGCTGCATTCACCTGTCAGCTGCCAAAATGTGACATCTCTGGGGTGAACATGTGGGTGCGAAGGCAGGTCTCATTCTGCCCAGTTGAAGTGGCCTGGAAAATTGCTATGAACACCACACAGAGCATGAAAACCAGGCTCTTTGTGTGTGATGCTAATGAAATTTCTCAGCTGCAGTGATGAGGAGTGAGATTAGTGCCAGCCTCACAATAAACATCACTCACCTAACTCTAAATCTCTTGTCTATATCAGCAGAGACTGCTAATAGTGCAGGATACTTGCCAAGCACAGGGCCCACCTAAAGCTCTTTCCTGGGATATCTATTCACGGCATTAGTTTTTTCTAAACCATTAAGATCACCTCCAAGTCCTTTGTGAAGAAACCAGAGCCTGTGTTCAGCCTGGTGCATGTGGGACATACCAATATCATTGTACTTTAAGTAAATCTATTCAAGTCATTTTAGAAGCTCATGAAGACAAGATTGTATGTCAGGGCAAATCTAACTTTGTGAGTTTAGACTAATTTCTTTGAAATTGGAAAGGGAGCTCAGATATGCCATTATTCTCTCCTTTCAGCATGGGACATCACTCAGCTGCACGGATCACATTATCATCCTTTCCCTAAGCAAATCTCTGCCACTGCAGGAGCCATGGCTGTTCTCCTCGATCATTCATAATCTGTGCTCCCAGGGCTCAGTTTCATTTCTGATAACTTAAACAACCAACCAAAGTAAAATCTGGACTAATGTAAGGTACTTCGATGAAAGGTAATGGCCTGAGACAGCCAGGAGTTGAGGTTTGATAATCCAGTGGCTTTTATTTATGTTCAGGATCTTTTTTTTTAGGGGGCTTTTGCTGGGTTTCAGAGAAGAAATGCATGATGGGAGATGCCTTTGCACCTTCCAAAAGACCCTTCACCTGTGGCAAGGCAGCTGAACAGCCCCTTTATCTACCAGAAACAGAACTACATATGTGTCAGCCTACAAGGAGAACATCCCAACAGAGTCTTGCTGTTGCTTATTTTTATGCTCCTCAGGGATAGTCTGCTGCCTCAGCCTCATCACTTGCTAATCAAGCAACAAACAGATGCTCCCATCCTTCTCTGAATCACTTAACTCTTCACTGCCACAGAATCAGTGATTTCAAAGGCCACCAAATACCACACCATCTTTCAGACAGACAGAGCAACAGTATACACCAGCTTGCCCAAATGACCATGAGATGAAACAGGATGTGCCACCCATGACAGAGAGACACAGGGCTTTGGAGGAAGACTTCAAAAACTTTTGATTATATTGTAACAAATCCCGTGTTTGTCATCTCATCTTCTGAGCAGGGAGAAAAACTCAGACTGCTTCCCAAATATATTTCATGGCACCATACCCTTCTGGTTTCTTAGGATGTCCACTGAAAGAGAAGAGAAGGATGTTCCCATGTTTTGAATCATTGCCTTTATTTTCTCTGTCTCCTCAACAGGCTACCTGGGCACTTCTGGCTCTCGGCTGGATCTTTGTGCCTGTTTACATTGCAGCAGGAGTGGTCACCATGCCTGAGTACCTGCAGAAGCGATTTGGAGGGCAGAGGATACAAATCTACATGTCCGTACTGTCCCTCATTCTCTATATATTCACCAAGATATCCGTATGTATCCAATTGGACACAACCCTTGTGTCTAGGGCAGGGGCAGGTCATCCTGGTACAATGCAGGACTGCTCAGAGATAACTCAGAAGTCCTTGAAAGGACCAGCTCAGCTACCAGAAACAGTAGCAGTGTGTTAGCGTGCAGCTTTGCTCAAGTAAATACCTGCCTCTGTATTGATCATGGAGACCTACCCTAAGAGAGATAGCCCTCGTTAAACAGCAGTGCACAGTGAGAACTTTACAGGGATATGGCAGGTAATGACTAAACAGTAGAAGTACCACAAGCTGTCTGCCTGCTTTTGCTCTTCTATCAGGTCAAACCTTGGGCAATACAAACAGGGCAACTGCAGCATTACCCCATCTGAGGAGCTGGCTAGCTGCATCTTGTAGATGTGAAATTCTCTTAAATTATCATAAATCTGCTGTTGTTCTAGGAGCTGAGTTTTCAGCACTAGGTATGTTATGGTTATTCCTCCATCTTTCTGTCACTTGTATAAAAAGGGTATGGTGAAAGGGGGGTAGGTTCTCGCTTAAGACAAAACTCAGCACCCTTCCTGTATCGCTTGTAGCATTGTACCCTACTGGTAGCCAAAAAGCAATGTAAGCTACTGGGTATTTCCCTTTATTTAAATGCTATTAATAAAGCGGCAGAACTTACACTCAGAGATTTGCTAAGAACTACCTATGCCCTTGCAGGGAGAGGACTGTATTTGAGAGTCCATTACAGGAAATGAAAATGTCAGTTAGTTGTCTCCAGCTGATTGTCCCATGGACGGTACAAGCCAGTTTTCACTAGAACCAGCTGAAATATTTAGATGTCCAACTGCCTTAGAAGACATTGACTGGAGAAGAGGCAACCATGTGCCTTTTTGCAGATGGCTTCAGGGTCCTTCTCCCAGGCTTATTATGTCTCGGGTCCTGGAAGGAGCATTAAGAGGGATTCCATGCTGGGAGTATGGCATAGATTTCCTCCTCTGATAGCCAGCTCTTCATCATGTCACCCATTGATCTTACCACTGCCTCCAGGACCTTTGCTCTGTGGGACTGAAGTATTGCCCAGGGTGACATCTTGCAAAGAGGCATTTGGAGCACAACTGGGCACATGAAGAGCAAATGGAAGATCTCTCCTGCGACAGCACCGCAGTGTACGCAGCTGCACAGTCAATGTATGGGGCGAGAACAGACCAGTCTTTCAAAATGACCTACAGCAGAACAGTGTTTGCCACTGCCTTTCAGAGCAGGACCCTGGCCTCAGTCATTGCTGTTTCATCTTGCTGGTTTCGCCTCTGTGCAGCTAATTCACGTGTGACTGATGGATGTGGCTGGTGGACTTTATGGGCATGACAGGTGCTTTCTATTAAGCAGTGCTGTTGTTTGTAGAGAGCTCATTTAGCGGCTGGCTGGACAGCAGGCAGTTGGTTACAAGAAGGATTTGTCTCCCTGTGCTTTTTGCCCAAACATAGGTTAGCAACTAGGGCATTGCAGAGTCTTCCTTGCTTGCAAACAGAGATCTCAGTAAACAGTGTTGTCAAAGGACTGATCCTGCATGGCTACAGAGGTGTTTGTCTTTCCTGCTGGGAAGTCAAAAACCAGAAGACACTGTGGTTCCTGTGGTGTACTGACAGCGTCTGTCCTGTCTCAGGGTTGCAGAGGTCAGGAGTTGCACTGGGTGCTTGCTTTTAAGGTGCTTACTTCAGGCACAGCAAATAGAAATCTTGCCCCATCCCTTCTGTCCCCTTTGGCAAATGTCTTTACCTGTAGATCACCCCATACCAGATTTGCAGGTGTCCTTCAAGCTGATTTCCCAACATACACATCTCCCCTATCACCTTCTGCATTTGAATGATGTTATCTGTATAATTCTAGGTTTCGCCCAGTTTCTGGTTTCACTTTCTGCCAGCAGGTCCAAAGAAAACAAAGCCCATGGGGATTTCTTTTTTCCTAGTGAGGTCCTCAGCAGGTATAACCTGTTTTTCTGAAGCCATTCTAGTCTGCTGAACTGGGTGAACAGAAAAGCAAGCTGTTGACCTTTTCAGAATAACAAATCATGACACAAGACATCAGTGATTCTTTAGGGGTCTTTCAAGCAGCAGTGTCTCCTGGCCACTAGGCCACCAAGATGTAGTCTTGGAAAGAGCCTGGTCTCCACTATTTGCCCCCCCCTTTCCCTCCTGTGTCTGTCTGGATACGTGGGCTCCTGCTCCCCACAGACATCTTCACAGTCAGCAAAAGGAGTGACAGTTTCCACCAACGCCTCTCTGTGCCAGTGAGGATTACTTTTTAGTCCCTTGGTGTAGGACCTTGATTTTTATCCTCCTGCCGCCCCAGGTCCAGCTGCTGAGAGTTCTGACCTGGAGGAAAGATTTTCCTTATGCTGAGAACAACAAGGTTCACAGCCAACAGCCCCATGCTCTCTTCTCCTCTTCCACTTCACCTTCGTGGTGTCCTCCCTCGTCAATTCTTTCAGCCGCAGAGGGCTGCAGGCTGCTTTATTAGATTTCACTTGCACGAAGCACTGCTAATGCCAGACTGCCCTTGGTTTTTTTCATTCCAGACAGACATTTTTTCTGGAGCGTTGTTCATCCAAATCTCTTTGGGCTGGAACCTCTACTTGTCCACTGTGGTCTTGCTAGCAGTGACTGCTCTCTACACTATAGCTGGTAAATAGCTGATTTAAAAATAAACCTTATAAACTTCAACCTAGGATATAAGTTTCCCCTGTCTTGCATAGGGGAAACTATTCGGGTCCTGGTCTGAGGGAGGGATTCCCCTGCCGCTGGTAGTACCTGCCCTGTCACTCCCAGGTGTTGGGGACCTCTGGCCATTCCCCTCTCCCATCCTGGCCCGAGGGAAACTGGTGTGGGGGGATCACCACTCTTTTCTAGAGGATTTTCTGACACTACAGAAGGCTCCCAGCTCCCTCTGTGCAGATAGTTACCACTGCCCATATTTGCTCTCTGTTTTTCATCTTTTTGCAACATTAGCAACTTTATCTGTCTCCAAGTCCTCTCATGAATGCAGAAAAGACCTTCAGGCCATTCCTCATGGGTGGGCTTGTGACAGCTATAGGCTCCTGGGGACCAGCTTAGTGCCAGCTTCTCCCAATGGGTCTGTCCTGAAATCACAGGGCTGGGGCCAAGGAAAACCTTTTTCCAGGTAAGGTACCTGTTTCGTTGTACATGGTGACACACTCTGCCTGTTGTCTCTGGTTCTCCTGACAGGTGGTTTAACGGCTGTGATCTACACAGATGCACTGCAGACCCTGATCATGGTGCTGGGAGCTTTAGTCCTCATGTTCATAGGTAAGGGTAACCTGCAGTGGCATCATGGTACCATGGTTTAATGGTCCCAAGGTCATTAGACCTTAGCAGGGTACCTCACCCTTTCATGCATGGTACAGAAATGAGTTTTAGCCACTCACAGAGATGGTGTCAGCACAACTCTTATTCAACAAGTCGTCAGACCTGCTTCATCCTTTGCACTGACTGTGTGGAGGTGAGGTTCTGGATGAGTTCACCTCACTGGTTTGGGTTTACCTGGAGTTGCCAAAGAGCTTGCAACACTGCGTTCCCAGAGCTAAATTCAGGTCTCACTATGCTTGTGTAAATTCAGAGTAATTCAGCTGACTTTTCCCTGTTGACTTTGGGAGTTACTGTGGATTCATCTGGGCGTAACTGAGCATTATAAAAAAAATAAAAAAGCAACAAGGAACTGACCATCATCAGTCTCTGCTTTAAGCCTTCTTGGCAAACAGAAATATAGATGTATCTTGTTTCATGTCATACTTTCCTGCTTTGGCTCTTGGAGGGTGTACCAGCAAAGACTAGATGCTGACAACATTGTGGGGATTAGGATCATGGAGATTTTCCTGCATTGATCCTCTTCCAGGATGCACTATTAAAACCACAAGGACTCTGGGCAAAATCCAACTGACTGCTGTAGAAACCTTGACTGTCAAAAGTGAGGGTGGAATGGAAAGAGAGGAGATAAGAGGAAGATAGGAGGAAAGAAAAGTAATCATGAGACTCAGATCAGGAAATAACTTTGCAGGATGCACCAGACCTTAAATCACTGGCATTTTCTTTTCAGGATTTGAAAAAGTCGGCTGGTATGAAGGACTTCAGGAGAAATACAGCACAGCAATACCAAAGGTTATAGTCCCGAACACAACCTGTCACCTCCCACGTGCGGATGCCTTTCATTTGTTCAGGGATCCAGTCACAGGAGACATTCCTTGGCCTGGCCTTATATTTGGTCTCTCTGTGCTGGCTCTTTGGTGCTGGTGCACTGACCAGGTGAGGAAAATCTTTCCCTCTGCAGGCAGACCACCACGCTATTATTTCCGGTCCACTCCTCAGTCTGTGGATCTGTGAGCTGAAACATGACTGTGTGTCACTGTGCAGGAGTTACTATCTTTTTACTGGTCTAGACCAGAATATCTCACTCCTTCCACCTTCTCAGCAAACTGCTAATTTTGTGCACTTCTTAGTGCAGAAAAAGCAGGTCATTTTTTTTCTGTGTTTACTGTGGGCTGGTGAGTACTGGGAGTCTTCATGCAGTTAGTGTGACAAGGATATGAAAATGTGGATCTGGAGCTGGCTTTGCAGTGACCTTGTATAGACCTCCAGACAAGCCATTCATATTCCCGGAGGTCTCACATTTCTTCTTCCTTCCAAATGAGGACAGCTCTAGTTGTTTATCAAGACACAATGCTTTTGTGTTTTAAAATGGGATAATTACGAAAACTCACCACTGAACTTTTACCAGAACACCTACGGTCTGCTTTGTTCCTTGTCTCTTGCTGCCGTACAGCTGCTGTCTCCAGTCCTCACGGTGGCTTCATTTCAGTCAAGGGCAAAATGATTCCTGTACAGGAAATTTCCACACTGCTCTCTCCTATAGCCTGTGCACTGAGCTCTGAGCAGTGACAGCAGGCTGCAGTCAACCGAGATGGGAAAGTTGCCATTGCCATGCAAAACACCCTGGGATCCTACCAGATGAAAGTCATCTACGAGAACGAGAGACACAGAGAGGATGGATCCTGCTTTCTCTGTAGTGTTTCTGTTTTACTCTCTGCTCCCTTTCTGCACTGATTGCAGGTGATAGTCCAGAGGTCTCTTTCTGCCAAGAACCTCTCCCATGCCAAAGGTGGATCAGTGCTGGGAGGATATCTGAAAATCTTCCCGATGTTTTTCATTGTCATGCCAGGGATGATCAGCAGAGCTCTTTATCCAGGTAAGCCTTCCCATGTTCCTTGCCACAGGGCTTTATACCTGCCATGACCACTAATCTCACTCACATAGGTCCTCCAGCACTTTTACGCCTCAGAAACTGCTGTCCTGCAGGCATACTCATATAGATTCCTGTTGTACAATGGTGTTCCCATGCCCTTCCTCCACCTCCAGTGCTCCCACCATGGCAGAAGTTGCTGGGAGTGTCCATATGGGGCATATTTGCCATTGGGGTCATATAGCTCCATGCTGTAAACATTGCATGCATCTGTCTATCTGGAGGAAATCAGTGAGATGAAATAATACACAAAGCACTGAGATTGTCCTTCAGGTCCTACGAATTACTTTCATTAGGTATTTGGTAAGAGTTTTAGCAATCTGCCACACAGATTCATGCAGTTCCTGGTGAATTATGCAAAACAGCCCTCCTTTGTGAAAGAGCGAGAGTTGTCCTCACGTCATCACCCAAGGAGCTCTCATTGCTGGTTTCTCCAGAGCATGCCACTTCCCAGGAGAATACCCCAGTTAGGAGGACCACTCCTGGAGAAAAGTGTGTCTCAAGTGCTTCTCACAGATTTCCTCAAATAGGAGTAAGTCAGCTTGCAACAACCTTGGTAACATAGCTTAGAGGTTCATGGAAAAAGTCTAGTTCCCACAAACGACAAATCATCAAGGGTTACAATTATGCAACATCCAGAAGAATTATATCTGTGCCCTGAACAAAATTGCAAAATGTCGTCTTGAAGTTTCACCTTTATTTTACAATGTAAAATGTTCTTCAGCTCCATTCATTCTAGCTGTATTCCAGCTGCACCTCTGAATATATACGAACCCGCACAAGGCGTCGATATCTGTTCCCTTGAATTAACTTATGGTTCAACAGGGTTTACACTGACTTGTTATTTTCCTGTCTTCTACAGATGAAGTGGGTTGTGTGGACCCTGACATCTGTAAAAGGGTCTGTGGAGCTGCGGTGGGTTGTTCCAACATTGCCTACCCCAAACTCGTGATAGAACTCATGCCTGATGGTGAGAAACCTTTACACTTGTGGAGATGGGCTTGAGCCATGCTCTTCGTGGGGGGATAAGACTGCCCTTATCCACCCTAAGTATGAGGGAATCTTTCTGCAGTTACCAGACACTGGGATGAAAAAACAGTGCTGAGAGGCCAGCGGTCTAGTCCTGATTTTCGTTCCCTTTTCTGCTCCCCCAGGGCTCCGGGGTTTGATGATTGCCGTGATGATGGCAGCCTTGATGAGTTCCCTCACTTCCATTTTCAACAGCAGCAGCACTCTCTTCGTAATAGACATCTGGCAGCGGATCCGCAGAAAGGCTTCAGAGCAGGAGCTGATGATTGTGGGCAGGTCCTCACATTTCTTTCTGTGTCGTTGCACTCATCATCTGTTTTGAGTGCAGCATTTACATTCTTCAGTCTGGACTCACTGAGAAAAATCTGGTGCCTAAAATATGGAACAGGAACAAAGCCTGGGAAAGAGCATTACATTTTCCAGCTTCATGTCAGATAGACCTGGTCAAGGAGAAACACTAAGTGTACCACTGATCTAGGTGGATCATTGCCTCTCTATTCTCTAAATTTAGCATAAATACTGCCTTAAATGTAACTTTTAGAAAAGCCAAAGGTGCTCTGGAGTCACTGTCACTGGAGGTCTCTAAGAACATGTGATTTTTTGCATCAGACAGGAGTGGTACATTGCCATTACTACTTTTTTTTCAGGGAAAAGCGCAGAAGAGCTGGGCCTTCCAGCCCTCTGTCTCTCTGACTATTTATAGTGCCCTTTGTGAGCAAGCTTTGGTACTGCATTATGTCAGAGGAATGTAAAGTTCTCATCCTGATAGTGGAATTTAAGCTGCATTCTGCATGTTTGTGGTGCTTTTCCTCTCCAGTCATGAGCATTAAGTTCAATCAGTTTGCTGTGGGGTGGCTGAAGGTTGCAGGCAATCTCAAACCCCACCACTGTGGCGAGGGGAAGTACCCCTTGTTCAGCAATATGGAGAAACCTCCATAACATAAAATGCAAAGATGAAGGACAGTTATGGCATGCACCTGAGACCCCAGAAGAGATTTTAATAAGCAGCAAATGAGTTGGAATTTGGCAAAGGCATAGACTGAGCATATTATCTGCTTGGAAAGGTGCCAGAAAGATAGCTTCCACAAGCTTCCAGCTCCCTCTTTCTGTTGCATCCAAGAACCAGTCCTTCGAAGAGCATGTCACTCTCTAAGACACACCAGCTTGAAGGGCTTGCACTGATCCAGCTCACAGTGGGAGCCACCAGGCCTCTGTGGATCTGTCATGCATGTCAACTGGCAAGTCCTAGCTCAGCTCGCTCTGAGAAGTGGTTGAACTGACTTTCCAGAAGAGAACAATTTTCTCTTTTCCTGAGTACACAGGGAAAGGTGCTTCTTGAGTGTGATCTGGGGATTCTTTCTTAGGAAATTCTGAGAGCAGTTGGAAGTGTGTTTTGCTGCAAATCTTCATTTTCAGGTGGTGTTAACTACCTGCAGAGCTAATACAATTTTATCCTCATCTTCCAGAGTCTTTATCCTCATCCTTGTAGTCATCAGTATTCTGTGGATCCCGATCATTCAATCGGCCAACAGCGGCAAGCTCTTTGACTACATTCAGTCCATAACCAGCTATCTAGCCCCACCAATCACAGCTCTCTTTATCTTGGCAATCTTCTGCAAGAGGATTAATGAGCCTGTAAGTGGAGTGTCAACAACCGATACGCATATTTAATTTGATAAGATAAATAAATAAATAAACTTCCCCTCATTACCTAGCCTTTGAGGCTCTTTAAACTTAAAGCCAGTCCAGCTAAAATGTGATGATTAGACAGCATTTCCCTGGCATACATTAGAGGATCTTAGCCCAGTCTTTAGCGTATGTGTATTTGCTTCCAAGAAGCCACTGCAAGTGGTACTTCTTGGCAGTCTCATTTGAAAGCACGAAAGGCAAAGTTGTTCTGCACTTTAGGGATGATGTGTCAAAGTCTAGTTGGAGGCACGTTGCTAGGAAGAGACTCTTGCACTGTCTGTGCTCTACCTGTTCCATGTTCCAGGGCAGCAAGAAAAATGATGCATGTCAGTGTGGGTTTCCATCAAGCATAAAAGGTCTTGGTCTGAGAAAGGAAAGGAAAAAGGAAAGGAGACAGGTGAGGAGAGGGGAGCGGAGAGAGGAAATGAAAGGGGAGGAAAGGAAAGGGGAGGAGGAGAAAAGAAAGATAAAAGTTAAGATAAGTCAAACATGTAGTGACCTTTTCTTTATGCTTGCCTTTTCTCAGGGTGCTTTCTGGGGCCTCATGGTCGGGCTAGTTGTTGGTCTCGTTCGGATGATCATAGAGTTTATTTATAGCACGCCATCTTGTGGTGAGGAGGACAGAAGACCAGCTGTGCTAAAGGACTTGCACTACCTCTACTTTGCTCTCATCCTCTGTGTCCTGACTGCAATTGTCATTGTCCTTATTAGTCTGTGCACCCCACCGATCCCTGAAGAAAAGGTAAGTGGCTTGCAGTGGCACCCTTTTCTCAGAGCCCCCACTTGGTTTCCAAAATCTCTGAAATCTGTCCTTTTCCTCCCATGGTTAAGAAATGGTCTGTAATGCATATGCTGTAAAGCAGCCCTTGCTCCTCAGCTTTCTGTTCCCCAGGTCACAGAGTGTTAATGCTTCCTGAGGCACTGAGTGCTTGAAATTGGGTCTGAGTTCCCATGCTGTGCCTAGAGCTGGGCAGACCCCATAGCCCATCATAACTGGCATAGAAAGAAAAGAAGAAGGGGAAGGAGATGAAATCATATTACAGAGCACTGCTGAGGAAGAATTAAATATATCTAATTGTAGCATCTACCCTGTTTCAGCAGAGCCAGCATCAATCTTGCAGCAAACACGATTAATATCTTTTGCAACGTGTGCATTTAGGAAAATAACATTTTGTCCCAATGTGATCTCAATTACATTCAATAACTTTGAGTCAGGCACGACTTTCGTTTACTTAACACATTAAAATGGTGCAGATTTGGGAGGCTCTATATAATAAAACCTTGAAGCAGCTCTTCCCAGTCCCAAGTTTTAAAGCAGCTGTCAATATAACAAAACTGCCATCCACCTCCAAACAAAGGTTACTGGCTAGATTTAAAAGACCTGTTTTTTTCCTGTCTAACTGCGTGAGGAAATGAAGGTGATGCCATCATAGCATTTTCTATCTGTTGCTTCCTCATAACTTGTAAAGCATTAACCAGTTCCATCAATGTTTGATTGAATGTTAGTGGTGTCAAGGATACCCCGCTCCTAAAGATTACATGAAGGCAGGTGCTCAGATAGAGGAGAGGAGAAGAGAGAGAGAGAGAGTCTGTCTTTGCTTTGAGATAAAGTCTCAGCTTTTATTAGCTATCAGAGGATCCACATGGGAGAGCGAAATACTGGCAAGCAGGCACTATTAGTTCTGCTGCTTACGTTGTTCACTACTGCTCAGGGGTGGCCAGATGGTTGCCAGCAATTAATTACTGTGGTTTAATGAGTTCCCACTCATCATCTGACCTGTGATAACTAAACATGTGCAGTGCTCCTGCCCACAGCAACAGCAAGATAAGATGCATTAGCATAGCACTGGCAAATGGTGAACATCATACCAACAGCTCAGAAAACGAAGAAAAACTGGCCACAGCAGCTACAGGCTTTTTAGTCTGACCTCGGAGGTATAAAAATATTTACCTAAGAAAAGAAGAGATTCCTAAGAGGAGATTTTCAGTAGAAATAGGTGAGTTTATAGGTGCTAGACTTAAGGGACCTTATTTGACATATTCTTCAAAGAGCCAAGGCTCAGAAAATGTGGCTTCAGACTGGAAGTGGTCCAGGGAAGAAAGCCAGTGGGATAGTCAAGGAGGATAGGAATTTGTCTGAAACACCTGTGTGCAGTTATCTCAGAGGAACAAAGGATGAGAGATGGTGGCTGGCCCCCCCAGACACATCTGGGGAGCTAGGGAAGGAGGAAAGCTTTCTAAAGGGCAGTGCTGGTCTTGAACAAACATAGGCTGGGCTTTTTGGGAAAGTTTTCTATAGAGGGGTGTTCGGGATAACCTTTTGGTAGGCTACGGACTCCACACAGTTCTGACCTCTATACAAGACACTGCTGAAGAAAATTTATGAGAATTAATGATATTGCCTGTGGCAGTGAGAGGCTGGACACAGAGACCCAGATCAATCATCTGGCGATGGTGATGACCATCCATGACCCATGTGCCCCACAGCCCTCAGTATCTTCCCACCACAAGGAAAATGAGACAGGCTACTAAGTAATTTGTGACACTAAGTGGTAGCTAATTCCTTCCTCCCCTTAGCTTGGTAGGAATGGGAGAGGCTGCCTCTATTTGGTTTTAGTCTGATTTCTATTCAGCTTCTACTGTTTATCCCCGATTTCAACAGGAAAGTTCTGACCTTGTTCCTCAGAGAACAGCCAAAATTAAGCTGTGGATCTGAAGCCGAGGTAGGTGCTAGTATGCCATGAATCAGAGTGGGCAGCATTAAAACCAACGTTTTTCATTTCCCCTTAGTCAGACTGACCCCAAATTTTGCTCAAGACATGAGCTCAGGTGTAGGTTTGGACCATTACTCCTGGTGTCCTGCCAGCAGCTGGCCATCTCAGGTTGGTCTGTGGCTGTGCTGAGATGGCTCAAGGACAGAAGAGTTTTGGGAAGGAAGGGCAGGAAGTAGAAATCACAGTGGGTATGTCAGGCTCTAACCCTCTGGGTAGAAACCAGCACCTGAACTTTGAGTTTGGCCATTAGTGACCTCAGGTTGCTGGGTTTTGGCATGCAAGTGGGCAAAGCTGTGGTGAAATGCCTGTATGTCCCCATGATAGTGGCTGAGAGGAGGAGGCTGGTAGTGGGTGTCCTGGCTGAGAATACCTGCAGCTCTGGTGCTTCCCGGTCCCATGTGTTGGTCAATTCACTTTATTAGCCTTAGATATTTCCCCCATAAATTTTGCATGGGTCTAGTCCTGATAGCCCTTATCTGTGCAGCGCTTTGAGATGTAATGATGAAGGACACCGTACAAGAGCTAGGAATGATGCCATTTATTTTGTCAAGCAAAAGGAAAAGAAAAACAAGCCACCAAAGCCAAGGAAATATAGTGATAGATCATACGTCAGCAGATGTAAATCAGCATAGCTCCATTGCCTTCAGAGACCAGGAACAGCTGTTGAGCACAGTTATGCTGCTTTACACCAGCTGAGGATCTACACTGGACAACTTCAAATATTTAATCTCAATGCTTTTGAGATAGTAAATGGGCAAAAGGAGAAAAGAGATTTGTATCTGATGTTAGACTGGTACAGCTAATGTGCCTGGCTTTAAATGAATTACAATCCAAGAACTGCAAGCTGTAGCATTTTCTCCTGCTGTTTTGGATGCTCTCCCATCCCTGTGGTGATTGATGCTGTGCTGGAAAACAAGTATGCAAGGAATTTGTTTGGTATGCTCCGGAGTTCATATGTCTTCATTGTAGGTAGTCCATATTGTGTCACGCCGTCCTTGAAAATCCTGCAAAAGAGCTTACAATTAAATTTGAGACTGTGAAGCTGAAATACAACTGTCAGGTGCCAGATGGCATTTTGGAACAGAAGGATTTATTCTAGTTTACAAACAACAAAAGAAAAACTTTGCTGAGTTCTTGCAAGCTGCCTTGTCCAAGGAGAATGTGATTGTGAGAAGGGAGAGGAGCAGCCCACAAAGCACGAGTGCTACTCGAGGAGGTCACCTCCCCAGGAGTCAGGGCTCACCCAGACAGGCTGGTGGACTGGCAGTTCCACCTGATGTACTCCGTGGTCGGGGATGTTTTCCCTGTGCCTTGAGGTCTGGCTTTAATGGCTCCTTTAGGTGCATAGCCTAGGAGGAGCACCAAGCCTGAACCCACAATGTGCACTCTGAGGTGCTGCAGCTGAAGCTCCCACAGCATCATTTAGTGCTGCAGAGAGCAAAGCATGCTCAGCTCCGGTGGGAAGCAGGCACCCACTGAGCAGCAGACTAAGGTGGGACACAGGGCTCCCCGTGCAGTGCCCACACATGGCTCTGCAGTTGGGAGCAGAGCCACAGGGCTCCCCAGGGTCTGCCAAGCCCTTGAGCATAGCGGCATCAGGCAGCATTTCCAAGGTCCAAGCCAATTATGCTAATGCAGCTTCCCCATCAGCAGTTCTCCTTATTTATGTATTTGCTTGCTTTCTCCAGGCATGCAAACACATGCCATCATCTGCACCCCCCATCCCTTCCTAAGTCTGTGCCAGGGAAGCGTAGCCAGCCCCGTGGTGGACTCCATGGCCACACAATGCTTCTGGTCTGCCCTGGCACATATCTTTCTGGCGATGGCAAAGAGGGGGAAGGGGGACCTCAGAGAATTCAGCCAGCCAAAAAGCACTGCAGGAGATCTTGAAGCTGGAGTGTCTGTGTGATGCATCACCGGGGAGCCCTCTAGGGTGGTGGTTTGCTTTATTTGGCCATGGTCAAACCACCAGCTCCTGGGTGGGTCACTGGGATGATATGTGATGAGGTTACCTGTGTGTCTATGCTGTTTCCAACTGGGAATCGCTCCCGTCTGGCAGAGTGTGAGCCCCAAGGAAGCTCCAGCCCTTGCAGATTTTGCAGCAATGTGAGGAGACAGTCATTCAGTGATACATGGGAAGAGGAGGGGAAAAAAAAAGTTTTGGAAATCCTTTACTACCCTGAAACTTTGCTATGTGCCAGTGACATTTCCTAAGTGATTAGAAAAAAAAAAAAGAATCCCTGAGAAAGATGAGGATCATCAAATCAAAGCAATTTAGCACATCATGACAAGAAAGATTAGCCCTGCCCAATGCTCATCTTCGTTGAAAATGATTTAAATAAAGCCATAAATCTTCTGGAAATTATGCAACATTTTGTGTCAGCTGGAAACTGCTGCCTAGATTTGTGTGTGTAAAATTCAAAAATTAAACTCACGCTACTTTATAAGTGACCCATTTGAGACGTTCATTTCCATATGAGCAGAGCAGGGAGGCAGCCGCTTGTCAGGGAGATGTGTGACTTTGCCTGACCTGTTGTCCCCACTGCAGCTTGGCTGCCCTGGCCCCATCCTGCGGCTTCTCTGCAGGCCAGGCGACGGGCCGGAGTGGGAGGACAGCCCATGGACCTGGGCAGCTGCATCTGGGTGGGACTGATGAGCGTGGTCCTTGCTGCCTTCCTTGGCCAGAGCACGCAGAGGTTAGGAAGTGCCGATGCCACCAAGCTGCTTGGTGTGCTGTGGTCAGCCAAAGAAGCCACAGGCCTGGCTTAAATCCATGTACCAGAGCCCCTGGGGCGGTTAACCCCACCCCACAGCTGTGAAAGGACCCCTGTGAGGTTTGCAAGATCAGCGCCTCCTGCGCACACCCTGTGTCCCAGGGAGGAGAAGACTTTCAGGCTTTCAACAGAACAAGAGTTTCAGACCTGCTGCTTTTGTAAAGCAGAGCAGACTGCAGCCACAGCAGCCTGCCCAGGACTGGCGGTCTTTCATGGCTTTTGGTGGTTCTTTCACTGAAAGACTGCAGAGAGAGGTAATGTCTTGTATTGGCACAATAGACAAAAATGGAATTAAAAAAAAAAAAAACAAAGAAAAAAAATCCAAACGAAAAAACAGAAGAGCTGTTTGGATGGGCAAGTCTTACAGTGTGTGCCCAGAGCCCATTGCTTTCTACTTGTAACTATACCTGTTGGTCTAATCTGTGGTATAATCCTCCCTGCAAATTATGGCTTGATATTAGCTGTCATGGCTCTGTCTGCCCACACAGTTGCATTTCTTGAACACATACCTGCAGTCGCAGAGCAGAGACACAATGCTGCTGCTTTTCCCAGTAAGAGCCCTGAAATAAGCTCATTTTGAAGTGCAGGTTGCTGCTCTACTGTGAGCTTGTCCCAGCTGTGGGGTTTAATGTTAAAACTGGGTTTTCTTTTCTATAAAATGTGTAAATATAAATGTGTAAAAACCTATAAAATGTCCCAGAGAAGGAGCTGGTCAAATATCAGTGTTCCCATGGCCATATATCTGCTTGCCAACACCTGACTGACCCTTCTCTGCTGAGGGTACAATTGCTGTCTGTGATTGTATCCAAAGAGGGTTATCATGGCTTCTTTTTTTTAATTGCCTGTATTACCCTTCCCTGTTGGAGGGCTGCCATTCTGGACACAGATGGTCATTATTTCATGTCAATCAAGTAAGCCTAGCAAATACGAAGCTGCTTCTTCAGTGTCTACCAAAAGGTTACTCCAGGTAGAGACAGGGATGAGACAGGTTAATTAAAAAAAATGGAAGGAAAGAAACTGGGTTAATTCACATTTTTTCTCAGCTTTTCAGCTCCAGCTGGATGTTACCAGCCTTCTTTTCCAGGGCATGGGCACCTGTGCAGAAGAAAGGTGAAAGAAAGTGAAGGAACAACTGTTGCCCCAGACCAGGTCTCCCAGCACCATCTTGGATCTGTGCCCCCTGAAGAGGGAGACGACTGGCACGCCAGTTTGGGGCTGACAGGCAATAACTTGTTTATTGTCTGTCGCACTTTGCAGCTCGCTTGCCTGACGTGGTGGACAAGACACAGAAAAGCTCCTGACATTGACCTGAAAAATTACAAGAGTGAAGCAGCACAGATGAATCCAGCCAACAGAGAGAACGACTTGGTTGAAAGTGCAGATTCAGGCAATAAGGAGGAGGCAGGTAGGGTTGCTGGCTGTGAACAAGCATGCTCATGCACATATGAGTGCCCAGCCAAGATCTCAGGCAAGTCCCTCTAAAGCTCGTGAGAGGCCATCTATTGCATTCCCTGGAGTTGGGGTTTTTATTTATGGGTAAACCAGGTATGAGGATGTGACAAATGAAAGTGTTGCGGTTCTTGGTCCTCCCAACATATCTTCTAGCATTTACCTTCACGTCACAATCCTCTGAATGACTCAGATGAGCTGCCATTCCCAAAAAACAAAGAAAACTCACCATTCAGTAACGTGTTTTTCCTCCTCCTCCCTAGAACGAGTTGTTTACCCAGGCAAACTACCCCGGTCCAGCCCTGCCCAAGGCACAGTTTATTTTAGCGCTTCCATCTGGACACTTAATAGTGTGCTGGACTCCTTAGATGGGAGTCAAGAGCCACTTACGAACATCCTTTGGGAGGGGGGAGGTCTGTGCTGCTGGGACACTGCTCCTCACACCATTGACGCTGAGGCTTTGTGCCATGACATTGCAACTATTTGTCTGTGCCACCAGGATGTTCTTGAGGAGCTCCATAGCACTACTGCAGGCATAACCAAAGCAGCAGCTGCCACTAGCGCTGTGAAAGTCATGGCAGGCTCTGTAACTTCAACTTTCAGCACATAAAAATCCCACCCTGGCCTCATCATTGCTGAGATCAGCCCCTTGTGTATGTACTAGAGATGCTTCCTCCTTACCCCTGTGTGGGCTCTGCTGGCCAAACTCACCCAGTGAT